ACCGCTAATAATGTTGGATTCGCATTTAATGATGTATCCGTAGAAAAAAGGATCTTCATATTTGAAGACATTTGATAGTCCATACTCTCCCTCAGCGAAACAGCGAAATAACCCACAAAAAATTGAGAAGAATATCATCTATTCGGTGTTTTCCGGGCGAAGTATTACCTTTGCCTTAAGGAGGAGAGCCCGGCGTCAGCTGGGCATCCGACTTTTAATACATAATAAGTACATCACTATAGCCACTCTCACACCCTCATGCACAGACAGGTATCTCCCAGTAGGTGGTGGAGCGTCATAGGGTAATCACTAGCTAGCAAAAGGCTAGGTAAATAAAGGTAGCTAGCACTAGCCAACCTGAGACTCAGTTGAGAAGCTGTTGAATTTCAAGAAATGCTCATTATGATTAGCCTTTATTTCGAAGAGCTCGTGACGATTGTCAAAAAAAAGAAAGATGAAGATTTATACGTTGACAAGCCCTACTTCTGAAAAATGACCATTTGGCTCCCATTCTGAGCTATTATATATCAGTACGTATGATGTGTGTGTAGGTATGTGTGTATGCACGCAGGTATGTGTATATGTATGTGTGTGCGTATATGAATGTACGTATGAATGTGTGTGCATGACCAGCAGCTCATTACTGCTATTACCCTACATCTGGACCATTTGAATGTCCATGGACTACAGCCAAAAGACCTGGTATAATGGTAGATGTTGTGACAAAGTGACATTTACCCTGATCAGCTCTGATTAAGGCCAATACCATGAGAGGACAGCAAAGTGCACAGAAATGTTACGACCTCAAGATGTCGTGTGTCAGAGACATAAGTAATTTAGTGAGTTCCCTTGTACTCCGTATTACTCGTTGCGAAGGAACTTACCCACCACCAGCTGGTGCAAAACTTAACGAGTAAACGAATGAATACAAAAGGTTAACTACTGTGCTATCGTTGATGATACTTGATCCGCAGACACCATTTGAAGTTCCGGTTGTATCCGCAGCCTATTCTAACTCGACTTTTTTGGCTCTTAGAGTTGACTCAGTTCCAGCCGTTTTTGGTGCTAAGCACAATTTCAAAAGCAATTATTTAGTAATACTAAATTGTGTTGAGTGTAAAATAGTTGTATTGTTAAGTGTAAAATATTTGTATGCTGTTTCGCCATGTATTGTGCCTTGTTTTGTAATGGGTGTTTCGATATTCCTTTTGTTTGGTGCTATCCGTGTGAGCGGATCGATATTGGCCTGGCAGGGGCCAGGCCAGTATCGATCCGCGAAGAGGGCGCAGACATATTGTCTGACGTTCTCGTGTAGTGCTCTCTCTCCGCTCCGCGCCCACTTTAGCTTCTCTACCGTGGGAAAGCGCGGGCGGAGGGGGAGGAGCTTCTGCGGGCAAGCTGCTCTTTAGTCTGTTTTCGGTTTGCCGTGGAGTACGGCTGGTTTCTTTGTTGAGCTTCCTGAAGTTAGGAAAAAGGGGTTGCGAGGGCAACCGGCGATAGTGTTTGGATCTCTGGCGACCCGCCGATCCTCTTAAAGCAGCTTGCTTGGTTTAAGCTCATTGAGTTCGCATATCCACTTGAAGCTCAGTGTTATTGATTGTCAAGATTTTGTTGAGAATCTCCTACCATTATCTCAGATATTTTTTTTTTGTGTCGTAATATAGCTTCCTCAAATAGAAAGTGTGGTTTCTGAATAGAGCGTGTATATCGCTAAGTTACGTCGCATTTGTGTGTCGTCNATCCGCGAAGAGGGCGCAGACATATTGTCTGACGTTCTCGTGTAGTGCTCTCTCTCCGCTCCGCGCCCACTTTAGCTTCTCTACCGTGGGAAAGCGCGGGCGGAGGGGGAGGAGCTTCTGCGGGCAAGCTGCTCTTTAGTCTGTTTTCGGTTTGCCGTGGAGTACGGCTGGTTTCTTTGCTTCCTGAAGTTAGGAAAAAGGGGTTGCGAGGGCAACCGGCGATAGTGTTTGGATATCTGGCGACCCGCCGATCCTCTTAAAGCGGCTTGCTTGGTTTAAGCTCATTGAGTTCGCATATCCACTTGAAGCTCAGTGTTATTGATTGTCAAGATTTTGTTGAGAATCTCCTACCATTATCTCAGATATTTTTTTGTGTCGTAATAAAGCTTCCTCAAATAGAAAGTGTGGTTTCTGAATAGAGCGTGAATATCGCTAAGTTACGTCGCATTTGTGTGTCGTCGTCATTGCCGTTAACGATTACCGTCTTGAAAAATGTCGTCGCGGAGCGACGAGAGGGGCACCAAACCGGGTACGCTACCGGTACCGTCGGCGCAAGCCGACGAGGAGGGTAGCGTACCCCAACATGGGGGCCAAGCCGACCCTCCGTCTCATGTGGATATTTTCAGGAAGGCGTTGATGGCAAGTGAGCAACTTAGCCGATCGCCAAGTGTTGATACAGTGAATGCCCAGTTGGACCAAGTAACCGTCGAAGACGAACAGCAGATGGATATTGATCAGGTTGGTGATACCGAAGAATGGCGTGGGTTGCTGGGGCGGATTGCTCCCACTTGTGAAGCCGCCATAAAGGCGAAGATACGTAACATCTCAGCCGCCAAGTTAACTTACATTATAGACTGCGTGCGAGAAAAAGTAGATTATGCAATTGCGCAAATTGAGAGCTCTCTGCTGACGACGAAGTCTGAAGCAGATGAGTTTTTAGAGAAGCTTGCTTTGCCGCTTGAGGAGCTGAAAGTAATTACAGTTAGAGAGAGTGGCCAAGCTGAAGTTCTAAGAGAGTTGACTGGAATACTACAGTGCAGCGAGGGTGACCTTACCGAAGTGGTGAGGGAGCAGAAGCAGTCATTGTTACGTTTGAGTAAAGTAATTCAGTCATTTCAGGACAGAGGCGTTGGCCCACAGCATGCGAGTACGTCGCACACGCAAGCGGCTGCAGGTAATGAGATGTTACGTGTATCGTTAAGAACGCTCAGAGGAAGTGAACCATTACAGGGCACACCTCTAGGCAGTTTGCACGGATCATCAAAGAGCAGAGATGGGCATCCACCGCCCCCGAAATCGATCTCGGAAGGGCAATCGCGAAGATCGTCGACAGTATCTTCCCTCGCGCACAGCAGGGGTGAGTCATATGACTATTCTGATCCACATAAATGCTGTTCTTGTGAGTCTGGGTCCCAAGGGCATATGATGGCGCAAACGGCACAGATGATATCGGGATTAAAAGAGGTAATGAAGGCACAGTGCCTCAAGGAGGTGGTAAGGTACAACGGGAAAAACTCGTTAGGAGATTTTCTCAGAACTATGGACTTTAAATACCCTAAGAGTGCTTGGACAGACTCGGAGCGACGTGACATTTTGGTCACACTGTTGGAAGGACAGGCGAAAATGCTGTATAGGACGCTTCCGAAAGAAGTCAAAAAGGGCCCTTATGAGGGCCTTGTTAAGGAGTTAAAGGTTGCGAGGTCAACGCCAGGTGAGCGACTCAAGCTACTGAAAGAGTGGGATACTCTGCAAAAGAGATAGTCGGAAACCGTGAATGACTTCTGTTATCGGATGGAACGTCTATCAAGGAAGTTGCATGCTGAAGCGGACCGAGACTTTCTTCTCGGCAGTAAGCTTTACCAGTGTCTGGCAGGTTGGAGGGACGCATACCACATGCTCACAGAGCTTGACAGGGCAGACGGTGAAGTCTACCAAGCTGTGAGAAAGGCAGCGTTACTACTGGAGCGCACTCAACAACCGCGACCTGGTGGGAAACAGATCCCGAGGAAGGGTAGTCGGAGTCCCAACCAGAAGGAGCAAGCGGAGCGTGCGGGTGCACACAGTAGGGGCGGTAGGACCAAGTGTTATGGCTGTGGTGAAGAGGGACATGTTGTGAAAAAATGTCCAAAGCAGGCTGCGAAGGACGTGAAGCAGCGCAAACAGCCAGGACCAGGTCAGGCGCCCAGCAAAGTGAAAGATGGAGCGTTTTCAACCTTTGTCAAGTAGTGGTGCTGCGAAGTGCGCACAGAAGCACGGACAAATGGCATGACGGAAGCGTATGGAAAGCCATACATCTGCAACGTTACGATCTTTGGAATCATTGCGAAGGCGTTGATCGATACAGGGTCCGTTATCTCAGTAGTGCCGATGGGGCTTCTGAAGCGAGCTCAAAACAAAGGTGTCGACCTCGATGGTATGGTAAAAGTAATGAACTAGCGCGCAAAGCGGCCGATAGTCGACGCATCAGGGAATGCCATGTCATTCTTGAAGTCAATCGCGACAGATGTGCAGCTACATGACGCGCAGTCAGCATGTGTGCAGTTGCGCATACAGGACAGTCCGGAGTCGTTAGTACTCCTGGGAACGAATGCACTCAAGGCCTTAGGTGTGGATATAAGGCTGTCACGAGTTGAACCGCAAGATGAGGACAAGGCGATGGGCAAAACGGCAAGAGTGTCGGGACGCTACGTGATCCCTCCGGGTGCAGCTAGTGTTTTGCTAGTGACGTCCCCAGTCAAAGAGGGTGAGCAAGTTTTCAACTCGAGTGACGAACGTGTAGCATCCGGCATTTGTCGGATAACGGAGAACTTAGCACCACTATCAGTGATAAATAGAGGGAGTGATTCGTGGGTAATCCGCGATGGACAACCCCTCGGTGAATGGAGTTCAGACACATGGTACGTTCCTCGGACGAAGGACATTCCCGGTGACATGCTCGAATTGAATCGATCAGGAAGTTTACCGCAGGCAGAGAGAAGGGCTTCTCTCGTAAAGATATTCAACGAAAACCGAAAAAGCGGAGCAATGCCGAAGGGCTTGGTCGAGCTCGTAATGGAGTACGAGGACGTTTTTGCGGTTTCTGATTTGGAACTATCGCAAACGGATTTGATCAAGCATGATATTGATGTAGGCGATGCCGCACCTATTCGTCAACGCACACGACCAGTTCCTTATGCTATGCGAGTGGAAGTGGACCGCATGTTGAAGGATTTGAAAAAGAGAGAAGTCATAGAGGATAGCCAGTCACCGTGGGCTTCGCCTATTGTACGTGGCGAAAAAAGATGGTGCCATCCGTCTCTGCGTAGATTACAGAGAGGTTAATAAGGTGACTAAAAAGGACAGCTACCCTCTACCAGCGATTGATGTAACCCTTCAGAATTTGAAGGGCAAAAGATTCTTTACGACCTTAGACTTGGCGAGCGGATATTGGCAGGTCCCCTTGACGGACAAAGCCAAAGAGATAAGCGCATTTACGACGACGTCAGGTCTTTTCCAATTTCGAGTTTTACCGTTCGGATTGACAACAGCGCCTGCTGTATTTCAAAGGCTAATGGAAAATGTTCTTGGCAACCTAATTAACATGGAAGTGGCGGTATATATTGATGATATACTGATTTCCACTGAGAGCGAGTCAAGGCATTATGAAGTGTTGTCGCAAGTGTTCGAAGCCTTTCGAAAGGCGCACTTGAAGCTGAAACCGCAAAAGTGCCGGTTGATGGAAAATAAGATAGACTTTCTGGGACACATAGTCAGTGAGCACGGAGTGCACACCGACCCAGATAAAGTGAAGCGTATCAGGGAATACCCAAGGCCACAGTCCGTATCCCAGCTAAGAGCATTTTTAGGCCTGGCGGGCTATTACAGGAAATTCGTACTGAATTTCGCGCGTATAACCAAGCCTTTATACGACCTTACGAGCATCAAGAAGGCGTTTGTCTGGGAAGATGCGCAAGAACGGGCGTTCGAAGACCTCAAGAAAGTTCTTTCAGAAGCTCCGGTGCTAGCACAGCCGGATATTGAGAAGGCTAGGAATGGTCAGCGACCATTCTACATCTACACGGACGCGAGTAGTGTAGGAGTAGGAGCAGTCTTGGCGCAAGAAAGTGATGATAGATATTTGCATCCGCTTCACTTCGCGTCGAAACCGTTTTCGAGCGCTGAAAGGAACTATCATATCACGGATCAGGAAGCACTAGCCGTTATGTATGCTCTTAAGAAGTTCTACTCACACTACTTCGTCTATGGTGTACGGACAGTGGTCCGAACGGATCACGCACCGTTGAAGACACTATTCAAGCGCGCAAATGTGTCCCCGCGTATTCTGCGTTGTGCGCTCGAGATTCAGAGGTATGATGTAGTGATCGAGTACATCAAAGGAACGGCTAATGCGGTCGCAGATGCATTGTCGCGAGGCATTGTAAAAGCGGATACGGCGAAGCCTACGCATACAGAAGACGAAAGGGTTGTTTCAAAGATCAGTGAGTCAGAGTGGCTCGAGGAGCTACGTCAAGATACTGAATTCAAGCAGCTGATAGAGGCCGTCGAAACGAACGTACGAAGAGATATACGATTTTCGCGGCATGACAAGACTCTTTCGTCGGCTGATTTTGTCATCGAAGATGGCAAGTTGAAACTTATCGGACCAGATGAACGATTGAGAGACGTTATTCCAATGTCCAAGCGGCGCGACGTGTTCAGGGAAGCGCATCATGGAACGATGGCAGCTCATTTTGGAGCGCGTAAGATATTCCGACGGCTGAGGAAACACGTTTTCTGGCCTGGAATGCGTCAGGACGTAGTGAAATGGACACGTGAATGCCAGCGGTGTTTTCTCTCGAACAATACTACAGGGCAGGTACCCCCGTTGAAACCGATTGTGACGACGAGACCGTTTGAGATAGTGGGCGTGGACCTACTAGAGATGGGGATAACGACTAGAGGCAATCGCTACATCGTTACAGTCATCGATCATTTCACAAAGTACTTGGGAGCTTATCCGATACCGGACAAGCGTGCTGAGACGGTCGCGGAAGTAATATTCAATCAGTGGATATGTGGTGCCGGGCGATGGCCTGAGGCAATTTTGTCGGACCGCGGCACAGAATTTGAAAATTTCGTTATGTCAGCCATATGTGAGATCATGGGCATTAAGCAACTGTTCACGAAGGGATACTGCCCTCGTGAGAATGGGCTAACCGAGCGAGCAAATGGCACGATTGTAGCCATGTTGCGTAAGAAAACGGTGGTGCCCGCGGAATGGGACAAGATTTTACCTACGGTTGTGTACGCATATAATGCTTCGCCCCATTCAGCGACTGGGGAGAGTCCTCACTTTCTCTTATATGGACATGATCCGCGTTATCCATCAGAAGCAATTCCGCGAGACCAGTTGTCAGCGTATATGCTCGACTATGACCAGTACAAGACGGAGTTCTTGGGGGGGCGCGCGATTCACGCGCCAATATAATGAGGTCATCGCGCACGCAGCATCGTTTTAGTACCTTCCTGTTGAGATGGACCGAATAAATTTGCAGTAGTTCACGGCTTCACCATGAATAGAGCAAATCTCTTTACTATGGCAAAAAAAAAACCCCTTCGAGATTGAGAATTCACCTCATAGGTCAACAATTTACTAGTCAAACGTTCAAAATAAGAATAACTTTAATTTTTTCGATCCTAGTAAACGCAATCCATCTGTAAACGTGCATAGATGGTCATTTCTTTACTTATTCTACTTATAAATTCTTATAACTTCCGTTATGATGGTAGGAATGATGTTTTAGCGTGATTTGTCCGATGACCTCATTATATTGGCGCGTGAATCGCACCACACCCGAGTTCTTGAGCGGACTAAAACGCACGCGAGTGCATAGTTGAACAAGGCGAGAAATACAGAGCTAAGGCTAAAGATTGGTACGATCGCCACTGGAAAACTGAAAAGTCGACTAAGTTCAAGATAGGGGATCGTGTGTATGTCCACGTACCCACCGAAAAAGGGGCGTCGAAGCACCCCAAGCTGACCGTGCCGTGGAGTGGACCGTACAGAGATATTGCTGTTACGTCTAATTCAGCAACGGTGACGGAAATTGGTTCGGGTAAGGAGCCGATACAGGTTCCGTTCGATCACATGGTAAAAGTGCCGGCTTCGATAGGCGACGTACCGGTCGCGAGTAAAAAGCGAAGAGGGGCAAAGCGCGGGAGGAGAGCTGAGAGTAAACAGGCCTAAAGCGGATAGCACTATTACACCCATAGAAGTTTTTTTTACTTTGATTTGTTTGTTTAAAAGTTACCCTAAGTAGTTCTCGTGTATAGCTATAAACACGTTTCAGCTCTCGTCGATCGTCGCGCACGGACATTACTACGATCGATTATCGCTGCCCGGGTGTGATGGCGCATGGAGAACAGTATTTGGCGTGCCATGTGGCGGTGGAATGGTCGAATATCGTAGCAGAACCACCGTTGCCGGAACTGATCTTTCATTCGATTTTTGAGTTGGCCCACGCAGTAGCGATTTTTCGTCAGACCCATGTACCCGCAGGATGGCGTACTGCCACTATCGCTGACACAGAGTATATTACTCTGTCACCGTCGTCCCTAGGATTTGCGATCTCGTTCTTTAGGGCGCAATGTCTTCATTTGGCGGCGTATTCTCGTCGCATGTTGGCTCCTAATGTGGCTCAGGAAAAGATGGCGCACCCCCCACGGCATTCGGAGGACCCCTTCGATTTGGCAAAGCTGTTCGATGAGGCGCAGAAATGGTCGTTCGCACATCCCTGGAACAAGGAACTATGGAGAGAGCTCCCTCGTTTGAAGACGCTGATTCTTCTGCCGGAAGGGTTCTACACGCATGTTGCACACATTTCGAGTGAGCGTCAGGTCGCGTACGCGTACACGAATCCGCAGTCGATCAAAGCGGAATGGTTTGTCGGCGAATGGTCGGCGGTTGTTGTGTCGTGGACGTGGACCAAGCCTTGGGAGCTGATTCTCTCTGTGGTGGCGTTAGGCGCTGAGCTAATACTCTTGCCAGGGCCGCACGATGACTTCGAATGGGGCAAAAGCGTCGATATGTTGAGGGATCTTGCGGAAGAGACCATCGAGCAGAGACCTAGCTTGGCACAGAGAATCAAGATTCTGTTGCCTAGGAAAGCCGATGCGAGCAACAAGAGTCATCCGATGTTCGCGATTGAAGGCAAAACCACGTCACAACCTCGATTCTACACAGGTACCAGTGCGAGGAAATTCTTCAATTCGACGTTGGAATTTCATATGCCGCATCTGAGCCTTGAGCCGTATAGGAGGAGACTCCCCGAGGAGGGAAAGGAGGGGCCCAGAGAGGTCGCAGGGAGGGGGCGTTGTCCCCCCAAGCGGGGTCGTTTTTACCATCGAGGACCACTAGGGCACAGGTTTTCCCCCCATGGGCGCCGCGTGTAAGCTGAGTGGGACAGCTTGTAGAGTGAGGGGGGGCATGTTGAGTGTAAAATAGTTGTATTGTTAAGTGTAAAATATTTGTATGC